ATTAGCATTGAGCGATCGAAATTTTTATAGCGCGCGCGTAAGAGATTAATATTTAAGGCCGTTAGGAAGTACTGATTATTCGCGAGCTTCGTCACGTATAGTCATGGCTCCTCCGACCAACGAGGAATTGCAGGAGCAAGTGATGCAGCTGCAAGTGATGCTTCGGCAGATGCAGGGCAATGTGGTCAGCAATGTCGCACATGTGGATTCATATAAGGTTCCGAAAATTCCGCCGTTCTTAATTAAAAATCCGGTGATATGGTTTATTCAAATCGAGGCCACGTTCGAGGCCACTCGAATCACAGAGCAAAAGACTAAGGCGCATCACGTGATTATGTCTCTGGACGCAGAAGCCATCGCGTGCTGCAGAGATCTCATCGCGGAGCCCGATGTGAACGAACCATACACCAAATTAAAACAGCGTATTATTGAAAAGTTTTCAGCGTCAGCAGAAAGTCAACTGCGATAATTAATAAAAGGCCAGGTGCTTACGTCAGGGAAACCGTCGCAGATCCTCAGTCGACTTCGTAACTTGAACTCTGACAAACGATGTGACGACGCCGTAATAAAAATTGTGTTCTTTGAACACTTATCACCACACATTAGAAGCATTCTTGCGACTACCGAAAGCACGGATCTGGACAAATTAGCCAAAATGGCGGATAAAATAGTTGAGACCGTGGGTGATTCTGCGCAATGTGCCGCCGCATCGTCGTCAGAGTTTAAGCCGTCCGACTTAGAAGCTAGGATCGACGGTCTGGCCGCTGATATTGCTACTCTCGCGGCTGAGGTCAAGCGATACAGCAGATCTCAGACGAGAGAAGGCAAATAAAAATCGTAAGCGTTCCAAAGCAGAAATTCTCGTGTCTGCTGGCCGCATCGTACTTTTGGGAAACAAGCGCGAGTCTGTAAGGGAACTGAAAAATTCCCGTGTCCTTGGCCAAAGCTCAAGATTTTAACAGACAAAAAGGCGGGGGAATAGAATCGTTTGCCACCGAGAAGACAGGTATGGCGGGCGTCGATTCTTCTGTCCGTCTCCACATCCGCGATCGAGTCACCGGAGAGTTATTCCTTGTAGATATGGGGGCAGAAATTTCGCTGCTTCCCAGCACTTACGTGAAGAACAAAACTCCGACCAATTTCAACCTTTACGCAGCAAACAATACGCGTATAGATACATATGGGGAGTCGTTCCGAACGCTACATTTAGGGATACGCCCGATCACATGGAATTTCTGCGTAGCATCAGTTCCGTACCCGATTATTGGGGCCGACCTGATTGCACATTATGGTCTCCTTCCGGACCTTAAAGATCACAGACTCATCGATTCACAAAATAATGTGTACGTGTCGGGCATTGTCAAATCGGTACCACAGCTTGCCATTAGCACGGTCAAACCCAGTACGAAATTCGCGAGTATCTTATCTTTCCGGAATTTCCGGAGGTCACCAGTTTAAAACAGGTAACTCCGAATTGCAGTAGCGATGTTCGTCATCATATCATTACCATGGGCCCGCCGGTAGCTGAGCGCCCCAGGCGGTTAAGTCTGGAAAAATTAAAAGCGGCAAAGGCTGAATTTCAACGGCTAGTCAAAGCCGGTATTTGCCGTCCGTCCAGTAGTCCATGGGCAAGTCCCATTCACATGGTACCGAAAAAAGACGGATCATGGAGGATCTG